CTATACACTGGACAATCTACCTCAAAGAACTGTCTTCCGCGACTGCCGTGTTCAATTGAAAAATAATTTCATCTAAATTTCCTCCCTTCATCTTTTTCCGCTTTACCTATTGATCGAAGTTTTTTGGTAGGGAACGACTATCCCTTATTTTTTGTATCTTCAGAAATATACAAAGTTTTATGTTAATGACTTTCTTATCTCGTAGATGTGCATGGACATGGCGAATTCACTTGTCAGGTCTTATTAACATCAGCACCCTATCTAACAATTAACTTCAATATTCTGTGTATTCTGTGAGAATATTTAAATTTTCACTCTTATTCTTCATAATTATTCTTAACTCATTTTTATTCTTTGGAAATATATTTCGATTTCACATTATATATTTCAATTCACACATGAACACCCTCAGTTCATAGAAGAATATATAAAGAAAACACCTCAGACGTTTTTATTTTATATCTTCAATTCTAATTTGTTTACTAGCGCATGATTTCAGTCATTTCCTGTAGTTTATTACACTTCCTGCTAGTTTCAGTGTGGATAAGTGAAATAATTACTGAAGTTACCATCATTTTTGAAGTTTTCAAAAAATGATTTATGGCCGGAATTCATCGAAAAACTCAACCAGACTCACAGGCGGATTTACGGGGGGGGGGCTTTCGGGCTGAAGCCTCCTCCCCTTCCAAAACGGTAAAATATAACCATGTTTTATAGAAAAAAATATTAAAAACTATCTCTTGAAGTATTATTGTTCGTGTAATTACATTAATTAGGACTTCAAGAATCACTTAAACAACATTTCATATAGGTAGTTAGTATCTTTCTTTTTTTTCAAATTAATTATCGTTATATATATGAAAAAAAATCTTTCGGGCTGAAACCCTCCCCCCAAAAATTAAATCCTGGATTCGCTAGTGACCAGATTTACTGATAATAAATTGGACTCAGTCCGCAATCAGTTGGATATTAAAAGTTAGAGGTGAGCCGTTGTATTTGAATAAGTATAGATTTCATAATGAGAATAAATAGTTCTCCCTTTGTAACCTGAAAGTCGAAAAAGATATTTGTAATTTTGTTCCTTTGTGCTCCATTCTGACTGAGGTTAGAATCAAATATTTTAATGAAACAGTATTAGATGAGTTAGAGCTCAAAAATTATTTAAATGGTGTAAATTGGAATAGACTTGTTGGCTATTGCAGATTAGTCTGGCAATACAGGTATGAATTAATAATAATTCATACCTGTATTGGTTAATAATAAAATAATTAATAATTAATAAAGAATAATTAATAATAATTTAATTATTAGCTACCATGCTAAATTTGTAAATAGTCTAAGCAGGGGTATCCAGAAGAGGGTTTCATGGCGTAAGATGCGCCATCCAAATTTTGAGGGGGCATATTTTCACAGGTTTTTGAATTTTTGAGAGGGGGCGAGTTGCTATGGGGTTAAGAATTTTCAGACTAACGGACGAGGAGAAAACATGGAACAGACTGCAATAAGTGTAATTGTATATGATCTACGATTTTTCTAATTTTACCTTAGCTTGCTCTGTTTTTAAGAAAAGGTGAACAATAAAATATCTTGGGAGGAGAGGGGGGGAGTAGATTCCTGCGCCATCGATCTTGGGTAAGATGGGCACCCATGAGTGTAAGTATTTAAATTTGTTTCATATCTCACCAGCAGGATTTCTTTTTTCATCTCAAATGTTATTGTTTATAACTTTCAAAAGTGTGTAATTGTTTTATTTATTATATTCTTCTGAATTATATACTTTAGTAGACTTCCCTCAGACGTTTATAAAAAAAAACATGAGGTATGTCTTTAATTCTGAGTTACACAGTATATATGTGCATTTTTCTATAAATGAAGCTATTATTATTATTATTAGTAAAACATCTTTGCTAACTAATGTATTTATCAATGGTGAGAGAAAAATAGTTTTTCCTATAAATTCAGAAAATATTTTTTTCTGCGTTTCAAACACTGCGGCGTTAAAGATAGTCAACACTTGTTAGAAAGAAGAGAGAAACACTTTATTTTCATAAAATATAAAATATAAAGGATTGCTGCCCAATTACATTGGGTTGCTATACACACAGCATACTCTTCTATCCTTAAGACAATATATGAACTTATATATAAATATACAGAAGTATTAGTTAATATTAGTAAAACAGAAATATATATATATATATATATATATATATATATATATATACATTTTTATTATTTTATTTATCTTTATAATTTTTTTTTTTTTTTTTTTACTTTTTCCTTCTTCTCATTGTTCATGCTTTTTTTTTTTTTTTTTTATTTAACATTAAGTTTCCCTTTCTCTCACTTCTCTCTCTTTATCGCTATTGTTTTCAATTATTCACTAAATAAATAAATAAACAAATACATAAATTAAAACTCTCGGGTTAGCCATGCACGTGGTGGTGAATGATTCCCAGGGAGTCGAGGACTATATTTTCAGCCAACCTCGCTACGTCCTTAATGTCGACACCTAGTTCCTCGAGGAAGCTCCTTGTTCTTTTTGGGATAGTTCCGCGAGACCCAAACCAGAGGCCTCTCACGGTGAACTCTCTCTCTCCGAAGGTCTCACGGAATTTCTCTTTTAGGAAAGGGATACATTTATCGTACGTGTTCTTCTTTTCCCTTTCCACTTCACCCGCCTGATCGAGGTCATTGCTCTCAAAGCGGACAGTTGGATCCAAGATCAGCGCTGTCCTTCCTGGCTTGGGAAATGCGACGATATCAGCGTATCTCGTAGAGCCCTCACTATCGATGCAATATACCTCGTCAAAGCAGGTGAATTTTTTTTCCCTAAGGAGCCTCATCAATTCGAACTTGACCCGGTGGTGACGACGTGTTATGAGGAGGGAGTTGTTGGGGCATTTTCCCAGCACATGTGCTGGTGTTTCAGACTCTCTGCCGCATTTACGGCAGAGGGACCCAACTTCTCTGACCTGTCCGCTGACTCCTGGGACTCCACGCAGGGGTGCATAATTAATGTTTAGTTTTAGGGCATTCGACCATTCAGACCCAGAAAGTACTTGCTTTTCGTAGATGTATCTATTCGCTTTCGGGGTCTCTTTAAAATGGCGAACACCAATACCCTGCCACCTGCAGTTGGCCCATTCCTCAAATGCATTTTCTCGTAGCGACTGCCGTAGAGCTTTCACATTTCGATGACCCTGATCAACCCCCAATCTCTCGGCACATTCAGCAATTTCAGCCGAATAATCGAAGGTAGACTGAAAAAGGGCATCTGGTACATTGGACAGTCGCTGAGCAATGGACCAATGTTGAAGAGGAGCCTCCCATTGGCAGCGGATTAATCCCAATCCTCGGTATCTCCTGGGGGCATACAACATCGCTGTGGAAGTATTCGCAGGGAGTCCAATAATGGCCTTTACGCTCCTGCGAATCATAGTGTCGATGCCCTCCAGTATAGCAGGACGTAGCTTTGTTAGGGGCGCAGTTTGGAGAGGGTAAGTAAGACCCGGGAACAGATATTGATTGACAATGTTGAGTTTCTGCTCAGGTTTAAGTAAGCAAGAGGTTACCAGCTTGTTTAGATTATCATTCAATTTAGTCACCGAATCTTCGTTGAATTGCAGCTCTCCCGAGAATGTACATCCTAAATACTTAATCGTATCTCCATTCTTCAATGTTTGGATGTACTCACCATTCTCAAGGGAGAGCACCGTAGTTTCCAGCTCTCCTTTATTTATAACGATGCCCATACTTTTTAGAGGATTTATAGCCAGACCAATTTCTTTAAATGTTCTTTGTATGCTGTCAATCACAACCTGTGGGACTAGTAGGATAAATAGCTATTTACTCATTTTATTAAAATTGTATGATTAGGAAAACAAGTAATATTAAGAACAGGATTACAGATACCATAAAAAAAAGATTATTTTTATCCAGCTCTTTAAAAACAGCAATCACAATTTATGATGTACAATCTGAACACCCAACATGACTAACACAAAATGACAAAACACCTATAATTTATATTAATGATGTAGAGAATCACACTGTTCTGATTTAATTTTAGAATAAAAACAATAAAGGAAAAAAAATAAAATAAAATTTACACTCAAAGATGTGACAGTCTACCCATAAACAGCTGAAACAACTGAATTTAGAAAATTTAGAGAACTTAGTCTCGGATCTAATTGAACACTCATCAAAAAGAGATGTCCTAATATATGTCTAGATAAATGCTGAGACGTTCCAGCAAATGTCTATAATGTCCTCTACTATTCCTTATGACAACCTATATCTTTATACATGGGAAAATGAAATTCCTAATACAGCAGAAATATTCTCATAAAAAAATTGAAAATCAAGAAAAAGAGATAAAGAGATAAAGAATCTTTATTTATACAGACAAATTAATTTACTCTTTATTTATTTTCTCTATATAATTACGTTATCTACAATTATTGAACATTCTAATAGGCAAGCAAATAATTTCTACCCATCTATTTCAAAAATCACATTGAACCACTCATCAATTGTATATTTGCATGGCATATCTGATTATATATCGATAAGACAAGAAAGGATGTTATTTACAATTGGAGTGTTTTTGGATGTCACCTAAGCATTTGACAAAGACTGTTTGACCACCACCAAATACCAATACTTGAATTGTGTTTATTTCTCACAGCAAATATACCATAGAAAGCAGAATTGAAATTCAATAGAGAGAAAAAAAACTTGTATAATTTTATTCGAATATAAAGATTTTTTCGTTAGATTTTCTTACTTCTATTTATAAATAAAAATCTCTCTCCTTGTTTGATAAATACTTTTGAATATTATTTCTTTTTATTATTAATATTAAACTTGATTTAAACACAACATATTTATGCTTTTATCTTGTGTACCTTTAATTTGAATATTGGGATCCAACATATAAGTTATCAATCTATGTATTTTAATTAAATAATAATTATATATTTTAATATACTTATTACCTTGGCTCCACAACAACTTCAGTGAATGACCAACAATCAGAAATAGACCAGCGCAAATAGAAGACGGGAAGAGCATGTAGCTCATAGCAATCTATCTGGAAGCCTTTTTGTAACAATGAATGCATCAATAGAAGGCAAAAGACCAGATGGATGGCCAAGCAGATGGATAGACAGAATCAACAAAGATGTAATAGAGCTGCATGAAGATAACTGGAAAGAAATAGCGTAAGACAGGTAGAAATGTTAAGGTGGCAACAGATCTAAAAGGTCTGTAATATCAAGAAGAAAAAAATATATATATATAATTATAATTATATATATATATATATATATATATATATATATATATATATATATATATATATATACATATAATTGCAAGGTTATGATATTCATTTTTCACAATTCTCTGAAAGTACATCTTGTTTTAGAACTTGGCCTCCTTGATGAAACATTATAATCTTTTCTGTAGTGCCTAGCATCCTTTTTTTTTTTTTTTTTTTTTTTTTTTTGTATTAGTTTCAATGAAAAACACAGAATCACCAAAAATTTTTGGTATATCCATATTATTTTTATGTCCAATTCACAAAATATGTGCCTGAGAAACATCCGCTTGAAGAGATCCTTTATTAGTGATGTATTTTTTTTTTGCTTGAAGATGTGCCCAATAAATATACAAAGCATGAGAAATTATGTTTTATTAGAGTTTTTCCAGAAAAAAATTAGAATTCCTCTTGATATTTTATTACTTAAATATGCCTCGATCAATCAACTAATATTTTTTCAGCTTCGCCATAATGCTGTAAATACCTTGACTTTAATAATTGAATTAAAGAGAGGAACTGTTCCCAATAAAATCTTTGTTTATCTATCAATGCTAATACTCACTTTTACTTTCAATCACATTATTATTAATTCAATAAATAGACTGAGGGTTACACCTTACAAAGGTTCAAGAAGGGTCATGGTGAGGAAGGTTTTCCCATCCCTCGATATAATAATATAAGTTCAATAATTAAACATTTTTTATATTATTTAATTGAATAAATAAAAAAAATGTTTATTTGGTAAGCCATAGAAGTATGCATCTATTCAGAGTTGTAACTGTAAAAATCATTAAACCAGTTTACTTATTAAGGCAAGGTGATTATAATACAAAAAAAAAAATAGATATTTATAAGGTGATAAGAAATTATAAACCTTGTATCAAACAATTTTCCATACAGAATTTTGCTTTATTTTTATAAATCACAATAGTTTCACTTTTTTGGTTGAATAATATAACAATCGGGCTTAAAACATATCTTAAATAAATTTTAATTCCATAGTTATTTTGTCTGTCAGGTAAATTAACTAATACAAAAAATATTTGTATACTACTTGAAAGCTAATTCAATATATTCTAATTTTTACCATCACAGACTTTAAGCAAGTTTTGAATAATATTTCTATCATTTCAGTTTCTAAGTTTTAACAATAGCATCAGTCAATACCCTACATAACATGTAAGACTGAAAAAAGTATAAAATACTAATTTAATGCATAAATGGATTAATTGAATAAACATATAACAACATTTGTGATGTATCAATGTTTTAAGTTTAATTAGTTAATACAGTAGAATCTCTATATCAAACTTATTTTGGGAATCTTGTATTTGTTTTATAAAAAAAATGTATGTGCTTTGAAAAAATATTCTATATATCTAACAAAGCCACAGTAAAGAAATATATATAATATGTAATTGGCATAAAATATAGTCCTAGTTTTAAGAACATAAGATCGGATAATAATAATTAAATGAGAAAAAAAAAAAAGTGTTTCAGTTTTTTACAATGTAATGGAAATTTGAGGAAGAGTCTCTCTATCTCTTTCTCTAAATATAGCAACAAATTTCTTTTTAATTCAGTTGAATGTATTTCTCATCATTAACAAAGCTCCTAAACGAAAATCATTAGATGTGAAACAAAATTTTGTTCAACTTTATAAAAGAAGTAAAAAGTGGATTGAAAAATGAAGAGGTGATAAAAAAAAAAAAATGAAGTTACTACAAGTATGGTACCAACAATGAATCAAAACTGTGATTTGATTTTTATAACATTGAATGGTTTAAAGGAGAGAAGGAATTATTAAATCTTTTAAGGTTTTATAAAATTGATGAAGCACTTTGATTCTCATCTGGGTTAGTTAATAGTTAGCTCTCAGAGGCCCCGGAAAGAATCTTGACATTCCCACTCTTGTTAGTAGGGAGAGGTAAACACTAGGTAACTGTCAGGGGTTGGCAAAAAGGACCGCGAGGCCCACTTGCTGGACTAGGTCCCCCACCAGTACCAGTAATGTTCCTATATATTGAATAAATTTCAAGAAACCTTCAGGTTCGATATATATAGATGTTTGACTATATTTAAAATGTCTATTCATTGTTTAAACATGTTTATCAGTCGTAATGAATATCTTATCAATCCTCAAAACAATTTATGCTTTATTTTATTATTCATTTATTATTATCACTTTATTTTCCATTACTTTGTAAAAAAACTGAAACACTTTTTTTTTTTCTTATTTAATTATTATTATCCGATCTTATGTTCTTAAAACTAGGACTATATTTTTTGCCAATTACATATTATATATATTTCTTTACTGTGGCTTTGTTAGATATATAGAATATTTTTTCAAAGCAATCAAAATTAATTTTTATATCTCCTTATAACACAATAATTATTAATTTTGAATAAAAACTATTTGTTAAAGCTTTCATAATAGCCGATTTTATCAGATTATGAAAAGTTGGACCCTTATAATTCTATAAATCTTTACAATCTTAAAATGTTTTATAACTTAACATTTTTATCAGGAAAAAACTTTCTTTAAATTTATTCATTTTTTTGATAAATGTAACAAAAGTGTAAACAAAGTTATGAATAATATCTCTATCATTAATATCAATTTTTGAAGTTTCAACTAGTCATTACTCTACATAATATGTAATACAAATGTACTAATTGAACAAAAATATAACAACTAAAAAAAACTACTTTGTTTGTTTACAATATGTAAACATTTGGAAATACATTTATTTAAATAAATATATGTTATCAATCTTAGTAAATAAAGTAATTGCTATAATACTGGCTATATGCTAAAAAAATGCTACATGTAGTTTTATTTTCATTTTTTATTTCTAAGACATACTTTAATCCTTAATACCTAGCTTCACATTATAGTTTGATGGATTGAACATTCTTCCTAAACTGTTTTTGATTATTAATTTACTACATTTATTATAACTTTATTAGAAGATTGATTCATCGTGTTTCTTAAAACATTTTATGTATATATTTTTGCCTTGTTATATTTTTATTTTTAATTTAAAGTTGTTTGTTCTTCATATCTGAAAATTTGAGTTTGGCCCCTCTTTTTTAAAAACATTCTAGGAAAGAAAACAAATCAATAAACAAATGAAAGTGGTAACAGATACAGTACATTAATAATGAAAATAAGATCATAAAGATGGACAGATAGAAGAAAATATCAAAAGTGAAGCGATGTATTAAGAATTAGAACATATCTTAGAAATAAACAAATGGAAACTACATTATACTAAATTTAGGATCCTTAGGGGAAAAAATGAATTGTTAAAAAGATAGATTTATGTTTACTATCCTAAAATCCTTGAAATTTATTTTTAAATAGTCGAATTTTCAGGAAATTCATTTATTAAATTATTGAATTAATGATTGTATAGTCCCAGATATTTATAATCACGATAGAATGATAAATTATAAATAAATAACTAATTTTCTAAGGAACATAAAATTCTAACTTTCTAATTTTATAATTGATATTTCTAATGTAGAAATAATTATAACATAAATACTAAAACAGTCTACATAAATTAATAATTTAAGGATCATTTGGGGTATCGCTCATTGAGGTAATGAAATGCCATTAAAAATCACCAATAGTGTTTCATCTGTTAATTGGCACATAGTGGTTGAGGCTTCTCAAAAACCCTTATTGATACGATATTAATAAATTATCCCTGTCGTTTATATTTAATCATCAAGAATCAGATGGTTTTAAAAAATATTTTGATATTTCTTGGAAACTTTTACCAAGAGTTTCAGGCAAATAGAAGTAAACAAACGCAGTCATTACAAAAGACATTATTCCATAAGCTAAAAACACACCAGGCAGTGTAGCAAGATCAATTAAATAGGGAAATGTTTTAATAATAATGAACATGAGGATGGAGCCATAAGAGATAATGAGGCCCGAACCAAAAGCTCTTACCTTAGTGGGAAGTAACTCACCGACTATAGCCCATGGTATCACCATCAAACCAAATGCACCAGCACAAACATATACCAATATTGAACCTATTATCCACCAGTCATTAACTACCTTTGGATTATTGTAATTGGTAATATTAGCTGGATTGGCTGAGAAATCTATGGCATGAACATCATTAAGGTATAAGAACCCTGAGGAAATACAAATAGATATTGCCATAACTAAAGAGGATATGATCATAATTGGCCTTCTTCCCATTACTTTTGAACATCCTGTTGACACAAAACTCATAATAAACCTTATCACCCCAAGTGCAACTGTCGCAGAATATCTATTAAAACCATAACCATAATCAGTGCCAATACTTTGAAAAATATTTAATGTGTAAAATATAACAACATATGTGCCACTTATCTGCTGAAACAGAAATAGCATGACTAAGATAATTGTTGGCATATATGATGTTCTTTCCTTAAATAATTTACATGTCTGTACAAATTGTTTCAGCCAGCTTTTGTCGCTATTTTCTTCCACCATCAGCAACCTTCTTTTCGATATTGCATCTTGAATCCTTTGCCATTCTTCTGTGAAAGTCTGTAAATTGAAATAAAAATGAATGAATTGTTCAAATTTTAATTATATATATTGGAAACTAAGTGAGTTAACATGATAATGCAATTATTAATGTGTCTCATACCACACGAAATTTCATATATTTGAAAAACATCATTTGCAGTAATAAATATATTGCCTTATATTTATGACAAAAGGATTATCATGTAATAATTG